TTATCTTTTTAGAGATGCCAATGTATCACAACGACCAGCCACGATGCACGGCGCGGAGGTGCTGGCTTCCGGTGACACACTACCAGAGCAAAACGGCCCCGGGAAGATGTTGACGACGACATGTGTCATGTCTGACACGTCGAGGGTGTCCGAGAATCCGGTCGAAGTGCCTCGCGGAGCGTCGTGGTCGACTTCGGCGAGCACGCTTGCCCAAGAGGACGCACCCACCCCCATGTTACAAGCCGTCGAGGACGAATACACGCGCGTCGAACTGGATTGCGTGCCTCTGCCTCCGCTCCCCCCATCAGCTCGGGGGAGGGTGGCCTCAAGGGTCCGGAGCAGGGCGGAGCACCGCGAGCCCTCCAGCTCGTCAGGCAGTGAGGCGTCCTGTCGAAACGACGCACCACGTCACTTTGCCTGGGGGCGGTTGCGAAAACGACGGACGGCGAGGAAGTTGTCGTCGCGATCTAAGGGCATGTGGGGCCACGGCACGGACCATTGGATGTCGCCCTGGGCGAGCCGTGCAGGAGGCACCAGCTCCAGCAGCTCGGCCACCGTCCCGACCAGCAGCACGACAGACTCCAGCAGCTCCAGCACCTCGCCCACCGCCCCGTCCCCCATGGCCACAGACTCCAGCAGCAGCTCCTCCTCCCCGGAGTCACCCCTGCCAACCGCCCCTAACGAATCGCCTCCACGCTCCGCCATCTCTCTAGAGGACGCCGTCGTCGTGAGGACGACGTCCGCCGAGCAGAACGAAGCGCGGCGCAGTCTCTGGGACATCACCGTGGCGATGTCCAAGTCCACCGTGACCGTCGCGCTGGTCCAGCCTGACCGCAGCGTCCTGTACCGCATCCCTCTGGTGTGGCTGCTGTCCGAACTGGGCGTCTGCGCGAACAATGAGAACACCAAGGCCCTCCTGAACTTCGGGGGAGGGGGGTGTTCGCACGCACCGGTGACCGTGAACGTCGCGAGAATGTTTAGGCCCCTTGAGGGCGAAGACGACCTGGCGCGCATGCCTCTCGGTCGACTTCTCAAGGAGTCGCCCCCCAGGATGCCGACGGCAGCAGAGCAGGCGACCCTGACTCTTAGGAGGCCCTGGCACGGGGATGGCGCCCTCGCACCGCTCAAGGACGTCGACGCTACGCCAGCCCACCTGACCGCGGCTCTGTGCGAGGGTTCGCGGGGTCCCCGTGGGGTCGCGGCCTCCAAGTGGACGAGAAAGTGTCGTCGAAAGACGACCCTCGCTCTCCGAGAGCTTTTCCGCGACGGCGGTCTCGTCTCTGTCTTGCACAGGTTGGCAGCCTGCCGAAAACTCCGAAAAAAATAAATACTGGAAAATGAGAGCACCAATAATTTTTAGTGAGAGGTTTTCCTCCAGGGTGCGCACCGCTCCTGGTCTCCCGGCGTCAGACGCGGGTGCCGCAGTTCGGCGGGAGGCCGAGTGCCCCGCAGTCCACAGCGCCCCGGTGCTGAGCACGGCGGCGTCCTGCCCGCGTCCGGAGCCGCCCTGCAGCTCCACCCAGCTCACTCTGGACCGGCGGAAAAGTCCGCCGCCGCCGCCGCCACCGAGAGCGTCGCCTCGACGACGCGGCCGCAAGCGAAGTCTGAGCCTGGGCTCCGAGCCTCTGGCCAAGCTGCCGGTAAGTTTCTTGTCGACTGCTTTCTCTCGCGTGGCCCGCGGCGAGGGCGCCGAGCATACCGTGTGCGTCCCGCTGCCCAGGCCCGGGTGCCTGAGGGGTCGTGTCCTCTCCAGCGCACCTACGTCGAGACGACGGACGTGAGGCACACGGCCGCCGACCACAGCGTGAGCTTGGCGTCAACGTCCAGCTTTCAGTGCCCCCACTGCGACTGCTGGCGCCCGTCCCCGGGCCGCACCCCCAGCACGCCCTCGAGTCCACCGCCCAGCCCGCCCTCCGGCCCGGGCAGCAGCCGAGATGACTCCTCGGACATTAGCGACGAATGCCCCTGCTGGGACGTCCAGGGGCCCGCGTGGGCCGCCGGGAGGGCGAGTGAGCCGGCCGTCAGGAGCTGGATGCCTCCCGAAGGTGATGCAGGCGTGACGTCGCCGTCCTTCGGTTCTGACTTCCGGTACCAATCTCGGATGCCGCCGTTTCCGAAATTTCAGTGGCCTGTTTATCTTTTTGCGGGCAAAACACTAACATTTAGGGGACTTTTAGCCGAGTTTTGGGACCGCAGGTCAGTCAGAAATTCTCATGACCGTCCAGTTCACACGAGTAACGCCGCATTTCCACAGCACAGCTCATGGAAGGTAGCGAGTACCTTCGACTCGGTCGCGGTGGGGCTGGCGGGCTGCGGGCGGCTCCCCAGCCCCTGACCTACGACCCGGCCGACGACTCCGACGCGAGCTCCCTCCCTGAGGCCACCACCTCCGCGCTCAGGCTGCTCGCGAGGAGGTTTTAACTGCAGTAGCGTGAGCCTACCGCCATGCTGTTGACTTAATCCCATCCCCCAGTGATTTCTGTACAATTTTAATTAATGATAAGACATAGACGTAGGAATAAACAGATCTTCCCATCTTTATTGTGTCTCTCAAACACCCTTGCCTAGCCGAAGAGCCCTCCCGGCCCTTGCGGCTTGCCGCCCTGCCTGCCACCACCCAGGCCGCCCAGGCCGCCGCCGCCAAGCCCTCCAGTCAGGCCGCCCGCGATCTTGCCCGCCGTCCCCGCCACGGCGCCGACCGCGTTCTTGAGGATGTCGGCGCACGAGTCGGTGGGCAGCTGGGGGCCGGAGAGCCCGGACCACACGGCCATCTGGCAGCCCCGGAAGTTCTTGCCGACGCGCGGGTTCTGGTCGATGACGAGGAAGTTGTTCTCCTGCTTGCCGCCGCCGCCGATGCCGCCGAAGCTGGGCAGCGGCAAGGGGAAGCGGGGCTTCTCCTTCTTCTTATTGCCCTCCTCTTGCCTGCAACACGCGAACTTGTCGGTATTACCCCGTGCGCGAGGACGGCCGGGGCCGCGCGGAGTATCTGCGAGCATCACTGCAGCACTCACCCGCTGTGCGCGAAGTCGGCGATGAGGCTCGTGAAGATGTCGCGCACTTTCATGTCCTCGGGCTCCGTGAGCGACACCTGGCCGCGGGTCGCGTCCCCCTTCATCCCCTCCAGGGGCCGCGCGTCGAACACGAAGGCCAGGTCGTCGCCGTGGAAGGTCTCATCTGCAAAGGGACTTCCCCGGTCAGGAATGGGGCCACATGGGATGTCGATACGATATCAAAGTGGCGTCGAAGAGGAAAGGTTGACGTCGTTACGATTTGGTTTGGACATCGTTCCGACAGCTATTTTTTCTGACTGGGTCTTGAACTGACTGACTGCATGCGTGATCGCGGTGCTTACTGAGTGCAGCCGGTGCGTCGAGTCCGGCCTGTATGAGGGGCAGCCCGCCCAGGAACTTCTGCCCAGCCTGGGCCGCCCGCGGGGATGTGTGCTCGAAGCTGTACACCATCGCCTTGCCGCCCTTCTTGGACCACAGCTGACTCGCTTGGAACATGGGCAAGTTGAAAAGGGCGTCCGTGGTGGCCTGCGGGGTTGCGGGGTGGTATATCAGAGAGAGTGCAACAACAACGAGATTGCGATCCAGTACTGCCTTCAACCCGCGCGGTAAGCTCACCTCGACGATCTTGGTGATTGGTCCCACTGCCTTCTCCGCTTGCTGGAAGAGCGGTGACGACGCCAGGCCCCCGAACAAGTTCTGCACGTTGTTGATGACACCTGCGACATGGGCATGGTGGTCACCGAGGTGGTCATCTCCGGCGGACGAACCGCAATGGCGGGCGAGTTTCTTAAGGCCGTGACAGCCGCCGAGGCGGTCAGCGAACCGTCCGCGCGCATCCCGCTCCCTGGCCGCGACCGTCTCGGCCCTGTCTACGACCTTGGTGGCGACCTTGTCGACCTTGGCCCCGATCTTTGCCCCAACCCTCTCGACCTGGGCCTCGGTTCTCTCGAGAAGAAACCTCAGGCCGTGTGTGATCACTGCACAGCAACCCTTTGAAACCGTTACGCCTCTCTACCAACTATGCGTCGATCCTTTTATGTCAATAAAAACAGCTCCGGACTCACCGGCGGCCCTCCCAGCCAGGTCCTTGAGCAGGACCTTGTTGAGGAAGTCGGGCACGGCCCTCAGGTTCTTGTCGAGCTCCTTCTGGAAGCCGCCCTTGATGGCGCGGCCTGTCTCGTCCTTGCACACGCCCGTCAGCAGCGAGATGTTGGGGAAGTTGCCCTTCTCGAGCGTCTCTTTGGGCTGCTCGGGCAGGAAGCTGGGCAGGAAGCGGCTGTCCTCCTTGCCCTCTACGACGGGGGAGGGAGACAGCAGACCGCCGAGTCCGCCGACAAAGCCTTGGGACGCCAGGCGTAAGGTCTGCGCCCCACAAACAAAAATCAAAAACAAAAACGTAAACATTTCCGCGTCAAGCTTTGGCGAAAAGGTCTTCTCCGAGCGGGCATCACCTGCAGGGTCTCGTCCGCGAACACGATCTGGTCGGCGGGCGCCTCCTGCATGCAGCGCACCATGGCGAGGTGCGGCTGGGTCGGGCAGCCCAGCTGGATGGCCAGCTCGTCCGTCGCGTCCAGCGGCTCGGCGTCCACCGCGTTGGGCGACAGCGCCGACCCGCTCATGGCCACGATGCCCTTGACGTTGTCCTGGGTCATGGGCGACAGCCCCATCATCATGGCGCTGCTCGCCCCCGTGCCCTGGCCCATGGTGTTGACGTTCTTGGGGTTGCCGCCGAAGAACGAGATGTACTCCTTGATCCAGTTCATGGCCAGCGCCATGTCGAACATGGCCACGTTGCCCGGCAGCTGCTGCGACGATGTGCTCATGTAGCCTGCACAGTGTGCGTGAGGGCGTGAGAGGAGGAAGTTGAAGGAGTTGGTCGGTATTTGAACCCTCGCTACTCCGCTGCTGCAGTGTTCTCACCCAAGGAGCCCAGGCGGTACTGGAGCGTGACCACGACCACCTTCTTGTCGACCAGGTGGCCCGTGCCGTATTGGTTGGCCGAACCGCGTCTGAAGCCGCCCCCGTGGATCCACACGATGACGGGGAGGCCATCGGACGTGCCGTTGGGGAGCTGGAAGGGCAAGCGGTCACATGAGTGAGTTGCCGTCCGGACAGCAGCTGAGGGGGGAGCGCGACTCTTCCCCTCCAGGAGGAGAGTGTTCTAGTCCCCGCATCGCCATGGTGGCAGCTCACCTCAGACGAGTAGATGTTGAGGTAGAGGCAGTCCTCGCTGCCCAGGGTCTTGAGGGGATCGTCCGGGTGCGGCTGGATGCACGGCGGCGGCGCGGTGGTGGCGTTGACGATGCCCTCCAGGCGCAGGGGGCGGGGGCGCTGGAAGATGAAAGGGGCGGGGGCGTTTATTAAAAGCATCCAAACGGCCAGAGGGGCGTAGCGCGGCGAGCGGCGGCGGCGGCGGCGGGGGTGGGCAGGCGTTGCGAAGCGAACCCGCCACACAAATACTATCAGCTGTACGTCGGCCAAAACTCGCAGGAAGCGGGAGATAAGTCGCGGGGCCCGCCTCACTCCGCCCCAGCTGTGCCCCCCAGCTGCGCCCCGCGCCGCCCCGCGCGCCCGCGAATGTGGCACGCACGGATAGCTCTTCTGGATATCCGGTGCGAGCAGGCTCGGGCGAGGTTATTTATAATTAGATTAAAACAAGTACAGGGCAGGCGCGAGACGGCCCGGCCGACGACTGTGATAGCGCCTGCAAGGCACTGGGTAGGCCGACCCGTCGAGCAGCTGTGTGCCGTGTGGAGGCGGCGGCCTACCCCGAGCCTGATCGCCCAATAGTGAGGGGGGCGGGAAGGGGTTGGGAGGTCTTTATTCTCCACTTCGTCCGTTAAAACGACCGCGGGGTCCATGTCGACCTAATTTCGATTTTCATATCGAATTGGTCCAAGAATGGTCGTTTCTACCCCGTGGAAAAAAAAAAAGAACAAGCCTGAACCTCGGGCCTTGACAGCTGACTGAGAAGGAGCGTTTCCCACAGAACTCGAAAAGTTTTGTCAGAACGACATTAATTATTTCAGAGTTACGATGGTGTCAAGTGATGTAGTTTGATGTCAAAATGACGTCGGAGCAGGCCTTAAAAATGTCCGAATATTGACAATTCATATCATTTTGACGAGATCATGTTCTCTGGTTATTGTGACTCTCGTCAAAAATAAAATTAATGTGAAAGGAAAGTGATGATGGCATGAATGGGACCCACCTGGAACCGGAAGAGGCCGACGGGCGGCTCGGCGTAGCGGATGCCCCGGTACACGTAGAAGCCCCCGGGGCGCTCCCGGGTGCCCAGGACGCGCGCGTCGTGGTCGTCCTTGTAGACGAACACGACGGGGTCGTCGACAGGGGGCGGCTGGGCGGCCCGTCCACCGACGATCCTCCTGACGCGGTGGTGGGAGGCGGCGGCCGTGAGGTGCAGCAGGACGGCCAGCTGCGAAGCCAGGACGACGATGGCAACGAGCTTGTTCATCTTGGAGAGGTTGTTGCTGGAGCAGTGAGGGGCCTTCGCGCGTTCGGCCCCGACTGCGTTTCGACGGCGGCCTCGGCACGGCAGCTGGAGATGCTGGGGTCCTGGTGGAGTCCTTATCTTCGCGGCCCGGCCAAAGACATGCGTAGGCGCGATTCGCTGATTCGCATGTATAAAAAATATGTAGCAAACATTGATTATGTATTAGAAGTTTATTTGAAACAGGCACAACTTATATGCCTTCAAGCGCCGTTTCTTGTCGAAACAATGATCTGATTCATCTGTAAAGAAAGAATGCGCAGCGCAGTCCTCGTGTTTCGAATTTGCCGCCTCCTGCCCTGCGTGCCAGCTGCTCGGTACCGGTGCGGAGGTGCTGCCCTCCACGGCCACTCTTATAACTAGGAGAGAAGAAGGGGAAAAAGAATTCGTAGTGGCACGCAAGCAGTTTCGGCAGAGTCGGCGGTGGAGTTAAACAAGTGACTTGTAAATTTTGTTCTACACTTTGTCCGTGTATTTTCGTTTATTATGGTAAGTACTGAAGTTTAAACTGAATTGATCAATAATCTGGCACGCATTTTCCATGTGCACGTCTAAGGATACAATATCCACAACTTACATACTCGTATTCATTGAGTTTACCTCATCAGTTTGCGCCTGTCATTCACCCGTTGCCGATTCGGAAATACCGTGTTTATTTCAATTTTACTGAAATCTCCGTATTATTCTTTAGCTCTTAGAAGTAGCTCACTGATTATCTTTCACCGGAACACATTTCACAACTTTTACGGCGAACCTGTTGTTTGTATTTAAAATTTTGGACATTCTAACCTCTTCTACGTGTCATATTTTCTCGAATTATTTTTTTGAGAAAGTTTCTTGGTTAAGCTAAGCATAACTTAATAATAAAATATGGCATGAGTCATTTAACTGAAAATTACAGTGATTCTACGTATTTTGATTAACTGGGTATTACGTGTTTTTTTAATGTTGTAGTTGCATTGATGATGCACGCAATCCAGGCCATTCATTTAAATTTTGTCCTATTTTATTTTCTAGGGTCAAAACCACTCGGGTGCGGGTGGTTCTGGAGGGGAAAAGAAAGATGACAAGGAAAAGAAGAAGAAGTATGAACCCCCAATTCCCACACGGGTCGGCAAGAAGAAGAGGAGAACAAAGGGACCAGATGCTGCTATGAAATTGCCGCAAGGTATGTTGTGGAAAGATCGTAAAAAGGGATGATCTGTTCCATTTCTCTTTCTGTAATTGAATTTCCTCTGCGCAGTCACGCCACACACAAGATGCCGATTAAAGTTACTCAAGTTGGAGAGGATAAAGGATTATCTACTTATGGAGGAAGAATTTATTCGCAATCAGGAGAGACTAAAGCCCCAAGAGGAGAAGAATGAGGTTTGTATCTTAATGGGTCTTTTTCAAAAGTTGTCGCTTTCTGTTATTGACTGGATTTGTGTTTTTTCTTTCTAATTTTTCAGGAAGAAAGGTCAAAGGTTGATGATCTGCGAGGAACTCCTATGTCTGTAGGAACACTGGAGGAAATTATTGATGATAATCATGCCATTGTGTCAACCTCTGTTGGAAGTGAACACTATGTCAGCATTCTGTCCTTTGTTGATAAGGACCAGCTGGAGCCTGGATGCTCTGTCCTTCTGAACCACAAGGTAATAATCAGTGTAAATTACATATTTTCTTATCTTTACAATATTGCTATGAGATTCATATTTTTAATGATTGTTTTAGGTCCATGCTGTTGTTGGAGTTTTGTCAGATGACACTGACCCTATGGTCACTGTTATGAAACTGGAGAAAGCTCCTCAGGAAACTTATGCTGACATTGGTGGGTTAGACACTCAGATTCAAGAAATTAAGGAATCTGTTGAACTTCCTCTTACTCACCCTGAGTATTATGAAGAAATGGGTATCAAACCACCCAAGGGTGTTATTTTATACGGGCCTCCAGGAACAGGCAAAACATTACTGGCTAAAGCTGTAGCAAACCAAACATCCGCCACGTTCCTTCGTGTAGTGGGGTCAGAACTGATCCAGAAGTACCTGGTATGTAATTTTTCTGCTATATTCTGAAACAACTGAGTTTACATATCTGTTATTAACAAGTATTTGATGTCTGTTTACAGGGTGATGGTCCTAAGTTAGTGCGTGAGTTATTCCGTGTAGCTGAAGATCATGCTCCATCAATTGTGTTTATTGACGAAATTGATGCAGTTGGTACCAAGCGTTATGATTCTAATTCCGGTGGTGAACGCGAAATCCAACGTACTATGCTTGAACTTCTGAATCAGCTTGATGGATTTGATTCACGTGGTGATGTTAAGGTATGTCTTTGGAATATCTTATTAGAAATATGGTAACTGATTCATACTCATAACTCTTTAACATGTTCCATTTACAGGTTGTTATGGCAACTAATAGAATTGAAACCTTGGATCCTGCTCTTATTCGACCTGGCCGTATTGACAGAAAAATTGAGTTCCCCCTTCCTGATGAAAAGACTAAGCGCCGTATCTTTAGTATTCACACATCAAGAATGACTCTGTCTGAAGATGTCAATCTCACTGAACTCATTATGGCCAAAGATGATTTATCAGGTGCAGACATCAAGGTATGGAAAATAAAATCTAGTCCAGTAACTAAAATATTTGTGTCAGGTGGTTTTCCCTTGTTTTAAAATGTTAATTTTGTTTCTCTTTGTAGGCTATTTGTACTGAGGCAGGTCTCATGGCTCTTCGTGAAAGGAGGATGAAAGTAACCCATGAAGATTTCCTGAAATCGAAGGAAAGTGTCCTATACCGCAAGAAGGAGGGCACACCTGAAGGACTGTACTTGTAGAAAGGGATTTTACTGACTTGATATTTATGAATTAAGTACTTGTTTATGAGTGAGTGAATTTGAATTATACTGGCTAACATTTGTATTACTTGGTTGTTTTCTTTGCACTCAGCTCCAAGCAAGTTACCTCCTACTTAACTAGGAAAAGTTAAAAAAAATCTTAACTTCAGTTAAATTAAAAAATGTTCTTTATTAGAAAAATGTTGAGATGGAATGTGAACTTGAGAATTATGCGAGGAATTATGCCTATTCTGAATCATGTGCAATTAATTCATTGAGTCCTGTCTTTTCAAATATAGGTAAACTAATGGACATTTTTTCAGTCAGTGCTTTCTTGGTGATTTCTGCTTGTCTTGCACTTATTGTAGTAATATCTTGGGATTTCTTACAATTGCAAGGAGACTTATCTGCTGAATCTTTACAAATTTGGCACAGCCCAAATCTGGAATTCTCAAAGCTGAAACTGTCAAGCTCCTGCTCGTTAAGGGAAAGCAACTCAGCATTTCTCTTTAATGTTCTGGAAAGAGACACCACTCAGATTAAAACTAGTCAAATGAGTGAATACACTATGATAACTTAACTTACTCAACAATCCCATTAAATTTTCCAAGGGAAAACGCTGTCTTGAAGCCTTCGGCATAACCAGCGTCAAAACCACTCTGGAAAGCCCCATCCTGCCCTGCTCCGGCTCCCTCGCGAAAACCAGACTGTAAACCATCAGAATAATTTTCAAAATTTGCATGACTGTCATACACTTAACAGCAGGTTCAATAAGTCTGAATGCCTAATGTCATGAGTTTGAGGAGGTTAGAAACACAGTGTTAGGTGTATCTTACCGTTTGGAGATTTCTCTCAAGTTTGAGAAAATCTCGTTTGGATGAAGTGTCATTTCCATCTATGTCAGCCTCGGGATCTGAATCCATTCGTGGATAGGGTTCCCTCACTCAATTAAACTTTGTTCATGCAATAATGAACCGAGAAAACAACCAAAGCAGAGCAGCACTAGCAGACGTTCATGTCAACCCACGAACCAAATCATAAACATCAATGTTGGCTTTTAAGACTCCAATTTTCTTTGGAGGGCATGTTCTTAAGACAGAACAAACTCAGAAATTTGATTAGTTTCATGTTTCCGAACCATGTTTAAAAACTGGACTATCATAATTTGAAATATTTTTCTGTGTCTGGTTGGTTAAACTTGTTATTATCGCTACTAATTTGTTTTCTTTCCCCACTATGCCCCCCTCACCCTCCCCCTTTGCAGCCAAAACTCTGCGGTACGTCGTCTGCTACTGGTTTTGTTTGTTTTGAGTACACCGTGTCGTCCAATGAGATCCTTTGTTATGGCCCCCCAGGACGCCTGAGCAACCAATAGTAGGCCGCCTTCCATCACGGATCGGCTATCATTTCAAATCAAATATGGCAGCCGTGTCGGTCGTCGTATTGTGAACCGTGCGCGAAAATGTTGTAGATTTCGTCTGTAATCCGCGAATTTCGGCCGCAGAACGAATTAGGATTGTCGGGCATCGGTGATATCTACCCACATCTTCCAACGATCAATCACGTAATCACCGTACGTAAACACGACGATTTTTGTTTGATGGTGCATTTGTCAAACACAATTCTATGTTTATATTATTCTTACCTACGAGAACAAGGAAATCATTTTGAGAGTTTTGGTTCAGTTTATAAGGTCTGGAAATTTTACAGCACACACCTAGCATAACCTCAAATTTTATCATTTTGTACAAAAGTGTTGATGCCTCGTTAGTCGTAATATTATAACAACCATAACCTCCAAATATTGTGTTAAATAATACTATGGGTATAGAAGTTTTGTTTGTGTCCAGTCTGTGGTGAAACACACTTTGACATGTTACTGTATTCCCTCTAGTACTCTTCTGCTCATGACAAGAATTGTTTTCATGCTGTCTTGTGCTACAGTTGAACTGTCATTTCAATTCAGGACTTTTGAAATAACAATTCTTGTCTAGAGCTGATGTAATTAGAATGTTAGGCATTGTAAAACATAGAACTTGTACCTGTTGTCCCCATTATGTAGGATATTGCTCTAATATTAAACTAGTTTGGTATACTGTAGGCTATGGCTCAAATGTGATGTTATTATTAAGAATCCTAAATTAGGTGTTTGTTTTAAATTTTAAGCGTTATTTATCCTGTGTGGTGGTGTGTTTGTATTGGTTTGTAGTCATTGTTAAGCTACATCACCAACGGTGTTGAATAGGTTAAGTGCCATGCTGTTTGAAGTGTGTGTAGAAATGTTTTTTGTGACAAGCTGCTTTCACCACTCCTTCACAATCATCACCATCACCATATGGCGAGCAAACATGGATGAAACCTCTGACTCCAGGTAAGAAAATTCCTCATTACTCTTCACACATTGTCCTTTGTTGCACATCTTGGGCAAATTGTTTTAAACGGGAGGGGGATGACAAGCTCAGTGCCTGTTCGTGGATGCATGCCAAACTTCCTACAGGATAGAAGCCAAATTTTTAGAAGCTTTGTTTCCAACTTGTTTCTTGACCACTGGGTGTAAATTTTGCTGCCCTCGCCACCCTGTGCAGATAATGGGGTATGTTAATCTCTGAGGATGAGTGTAAATTGAGTCTCTCTTGACTATCCAAGTTGAGAAAAACAAAACAAACGATCGTTTGGAACACTCGCAACACTTTTTTTTTAATGTTGTCTTTTCCAACTAAAAATTAAATCACAATTTAGCCGTAGCTATGTGAATGGAGCTCGGCGCTGGTGGGGCGGGCGCGCCTGGCGGGTAGGCAACCGCAAAGCTCCCGTGCATGGAGGAGCGCGCGCGGCCTACTCGCTAGGCGCTGACTAGCGCTGGGGCGGCCCGCGCGCTCACTTCTCTCCGGTAGTAGCTAGCGGTAGCTAGCGGTAGCTAGCTATAGCTCTACGTGTAGCAGCCGTGCTGGAGGTGAGCACGCACGACCCACGACCCACGGCCTGGTCTACCCACTGGGCTGGGCGCTGGCTAGCCCCGGCAGTTGGCGGTCTGCGCGTTCCCTTTCCGGTAGTAGCTAGCGGTAGCTGGCTATCTCTCTACCTGTAGCAGCAGCCCTGCATGGAGGAGCACGCACGGCCGACCCGCTCGGCGCTGGCCCTCGTGATCCCTCTTGTCGGGTCTCCGGTAGCAGCTAGCCAGCTCCTACGTCTTACGCTCTGTTTGCTGTACCTGTAGCTTGAGGTGAGAAGGAAGGAGGGATCTGTCCTTCTCGGCTCACCTCACCGACTTCTCCGTCACCTTCACCTACCTCCTCTTGTTTCCTCCAAGGGGACATAGGCTATTTATTTTTGCACCACCATGAACTCCTTCAAAAGAGTTTCGATGAAGTCCGGGCGAATATCAGTGAACTTTAGTAAAACTGTGAAGATTTTGCATCGCAGTTCAGAGACCATTTGGCGGTTTTAAAATAAGTTAACTTTAGCTAAGAACTTCAGACGAAGTGCCCAATCCTCGCTTTTAGTATTAACTCTTTCCGAATCCCATTTCGTCCCCTGTCTTTCTCTCTTTCTCACCGTCATTACTTGACATCTTTACCTCCGCGAATCGAAAGAAATAGCAAAAATAAAACAAACAATCGCGCGGTGTCGTTAAACGGCATTTGAACCTACGCACCCACCCACCCCACGCCACCCCCGCCGTGGCCTCGGCAATAAGGGAGAGAGGGGAAGGGTTGAGGGACGGGTTGCGTAAGCGAGCCGCTGGGCCTTGTTATATCGCCCGGTGCGTGGGCAGCCTGGGCAGCTGCGAGACGCACTTCGAGATGAGACACAATCGATTGTCTTCTCTGCGGAACTGCGTGGCGTGGCGGGGTGCGGGGCGGAGTGCGGGGCGGGGCGCGGGGTGGAGCGGGGCGGGCTTTGCCGACACCCCGCAAAGGAGGTGGTGAGGCCACTGGGCCGGTGGTGGTGTGTTGTGAGGAAGTTTGAGCGGCGAGGTGGAGGTGGGGGGAGAAGGGACGGCCAGGTGGCGGTTAGAAGTCCACCAGGTTGTCTGCCTCTTAGGTGGAACTTTGGCGTTTACAGGAGGTTGGTGCGGGAGGGAGGGA